CACTCAGAAATGCAAACACAGTTTTCAAAGTGACTTGATCGTATCTGGAATAAAAACATTTATCAAAAAATCTCCCACAGCTTTACGAAATTAAGATTTTCTGACAAAATGAATCAATTTTTTAAAGATAATACAATTAATAATACATTATTTTTGCAGGATACTGAAATCTGCATGCGGAGCACTTTCATCAGACAACAGCCAAGAGTTTCATTTAGCAATTTGGCCGACTGGTGATTTAATTATCTTTAGCTGATGAATTTGACATCAATGGTCCTTGACCAAAAATGATTAACCTTCATTGTATTAATGCACCAGATTAATGATCTTAAAACATCCTCTGTGCCACTAAACTAGCCGATATATGTGACACATCTTTGCCAAACGAAACAAGGTGTGGTTTACTAAACTGCTAACACTTTCCCACCAAGAGCCTTGTTTTCATCTTCATCTGTTGGCCCCAGATGATGGAGTTAAGGATCCATTAAGACACATTTTGCAACTTAATCTTCTCCTCTAGGGCTTTTTGAAAGCAATAACCCAGTGTATAATATCTCTCCCCGCCTCTTAAGCCCTTTGAAATTCTCCAATTATGACTCATTATCGTGGAGAGAGGAGATGATGTTAAAGGATGTAGCACCGTGAACAGTATCGTATAGTAATGAGAGGAGATAAGAGCAGATGAGAGGGGTCTCTGACACCTACGGGGCTTCAGTCTGCCATCATGTAATTATAGATGAGGGTGTTCATGATCAGTCTGCACACAGCTACATGATGTTAGCATCCCGTGCTACGCTATCAAGGCAAGGCAAGTTTATTCATATAGCACCTTTCAACACAAGGCCATTCAAAGTGCTTTATAAAAATGAAAGACATTAAGAAATAGTGCAGCAGAAACATGTTATAAAATGGCATTTAAAAATATTCATTTAAAAGCAAAGATAATAAAACATGAGGTACATGAATAAAAGTGACAGTGCAGTGTGAGATGTGAATATATTAATTAAAAGCAGCGGCAAAAAGAAAAGTCTTCAGCCTGGATTTAAGAGTAGTGAGAGTTGCAGTGGACCTGCAGGTTTCTGGGAGTTTGTTCCAGATATTTGGAGCATAATAACTGAACTGCTCCATGTTTAGTTCTGACTCAGAAAGCACTGTAACCCAGTCTCACGGCATTTCGTGTTATTAGTCACGAAATTAATTTAATCTATTGATTCGTGTTCACCAACACGATTTTCACCTTTTTTTCGTGTCACACAGAACGATTTTAAATGCAATGTATTTCTATTGGTAGTATGTTTCGTGCCTGCAACACGTCTTTTTGTCCGGTCGGGTCTTGGAAGACCAGAAGCTGTGTGGTTCATAAAAACATGTTCTTACTCAATATCTTACCCTAAGCCTAACCCTATCCCTTTTATTTTAAATTGTATAATGTCTGAGTTTTTTTGCCGTCAGTGAGGAAAAGAAATGGCTCAGAGCCTCAGAATACTGACATCTGTATTTTATGTCATCTTTTTTTCCTTCTAATTTGTTATTATTTGGTGCAGGCACGAAACATACTACCAATATAAATACATTGCTTCTAAAATCGTTCTGTGTCAGAATACTTAAATCTGTATTTTTTTAAATATCTTTTTCCTTCTAATTTGTTATTATTTACATTGCTTTTAAAATCGTTCTGTGTGACACGAAAAAAATGGCGAAATCGTGTTGGTGAACACGAATCAATAGATTAATTTCGTGACTATAACACAAAATGCCATGAGACTGTGTTGATTATTCATGTGTTTCTTTCTTCTCTTCTCTGCTTTGTAATGACTGTTTTTAAAAATCCCATTTTCTTAATTCCTTTCGTTTTTGTAAAAGCACTTTGAATTGCCTTATGTTGAAAGGTGCTGTATAAATAAACCTTGCATTGGCTTACATGATGTTAGCATCCCACGCTGCTACGCTATCAGTATTGTGAGTGAAGTGCCTTCCTGCATACTGCATCATGCTGTCATATGGGGGGGTGCTGTGTGGCTGTACCCCACCTCCCAGATGTATCTCATACATACAGCGCAGCAGTGAGCGATGAACACACACATGCACCAGTGCTCCTCGTAATGCGTCGCCACAGAGATCAAGAAAGGTCCCGTCTGAGGGCTTCATTCAACGCTGCGCTGCTCTGGGAGGAAATAGGCTGCGCTGCCGGCTGATTTACACAATCAACACAAAGGGGATTGGCTTTCTGTCCCACGTTGTTGTTTTTCTTTATCTCTCTCTCTCTGTTTATTTCCCTGTGCCCTTTCCTCTGTCTTAGAGGCGCCGGGCCACTCAGTAAAACAATCCCTAGAATATGTTTAGCTCCTGTAGAAAAGTTGTTTTTCTGTGAGCTCTGGAGAGATGGAGCTGGGTTTAAATGCCTGAACAGAGGATGGTTTTAGTTACACTCTATTAGGGTTGGTAAACTGGTTCACTTGTTTAGTTTGGAGGGAAATATCTCAACAAATATTAGAGGGATTGTCATTTAGATTTCCACAGACCTTCATCGTCAAAAGTGGAAGGACTTTTACGATCCCCTGACTTCTCTAACATGTATGCTTTTTATTGACACTAGAAGCTGATTGTTTTGTGTTTTATCCGAGCTACTTCACACACTTCACTTATACGGCGGTCAAGTGGGAATCTAATTGGATGAATGATTGTCCAAAAACAGGGAAGGACAGACAATAATACATAAAGACAGTAACCACTTCAGTTGGATTTCTTAACATCTATTGGAGGGATTGGCAATTTGGTACAGACATTCATCTTCTCCTCCGAAACATTACTGTATCGACCCCTTTATTTCTTCTAGCACCTTTATCAGGTATGAATATGTCCAAATACCTTTTATATCATCCTCAATCCATGATTTGCTGGTTTAATAAAAATAAACATCTTCTATGTCAAGTGTGATGTTGCCTTGACATCAAATGAATCCTCAACATGTATCAGCCCAGGTGACATATTTGAATCCCGAAAAAATGACCTGCCAACGTCAAGATGTTATCATCGTCACTGTGTGCATGTGGACTGAAAGCACGGCTGTGTGCCGAGTGCACTTTTTGATATAACATTTGACGTACACCTTTTGAAAAGACGAGAAGAAAAGATGGAGGAGAGGAGATGAGGAATAGGTCTCATCACAAAGGATTCACTTTGCTCGGACTCTAGCGCCTCGAGCCGGGAATGCACCCAAATGCACACACACACACACACACACACACACACACACACACACACACAGACACACACACACACACACACACACACAGACACACACACACACACACACACACACACACACACACACACACACACACACACACACACACACACACACACACACACACACACACACACACAAACAGAGGCAGAGATGAGAGGCTGTATTCATGGCTCAGAAGTGGATGCTTGCTTTGTGTCAGTTATATGTATGAATCTGCCCGAGGACAAAAACACAAGGTACCGTTTCCTCACAGGGGAATAAAACATCCTCTTCTCATATAAAATATATATAGATACTATCTTTAAGGTGGCTATCCTTCAATATCCATAACCTCCTCGCACTTCCCTCTAAATATGTCTATGTTAGCTGAATGCTAAGCACGGAGGAAGCATGTGATATCTAATGATATGGAGCACATAAACGTGTAGTCCACATATGTTGTTTGTGTTATAGGGTCTTTTATCTTTGGACCTTTACAAAATGGGCACTGAGCCCAGCTAATTCATTCCCAACAGGCTGGCAAAAGGCCCACAGTTAGCACACAATGGACAACAATAATGTAATGGGCCTTATCTCCGAGGCAGAGCGAACACACAGAGGACTGTCGAACAAAATGGCCTGTAAATGCGGGGGATATTCAATTAAATGTAATCTTCTCTCTTTTTTTCATCCGCAATCAATCTCCTGGTAAAGTGATTTAGATGCTTTTGATCGCCCTCCTCTCCTCATTGACTGGAAAACCAGTTTCAAGGAGAGGAAGCACTTAAAACAGCGGCACACAGTGTGCATCGGGTCACATTCATTCATAAAGTGCTTTTAGCAATACGTGGTAGTAATGTGTTGCTTTCTGTCATCAGCAGAAAACGGCTAATATTTACCCGGCTTCCTTTTTATGCTAAGCCTTTAAATACTATTGCACTTTCAGCAAAGTCAATGCAAGATGGCAATTAAGTCTCTGCTGCTGCTCCTGGCTGTTCGTAATGTGCTGCCTCCTCTCTCTCTTCCTCTTTAGATCACTGAGCTCCATAACGTCAAGAACATTACCCGGATGCCGCGGGAGACAAAAAAAACACGCGGTGGCGATTATTTTCTGTGACGACACATCCAAGACGTTCGCCTGTGAATCGGGTGAGTGAGGAAATTAGGGAAGGACTACTATATGTCTTTGTTTTGCAAACACAAGATGCTGCATGAGAAAAGTTTGCCAAGAAGTGGAGGAAGACTGAACTCCAGTGAGAGGTGAACGAGGCAGTAAAGACTTGGAGTTTAGCCAAGTGTTGCTCATTTGCCGCCATATTAAGAAGTGGGAGGATCCGTTCCGAAATATTGATTTTCATACTGCAGGTATATGAGAGATGATATTGGCCGTCGTTTGCAGCGTGTTGCAACCCAATTATGGACTGTAACAATCGAGATTGCATCTAATACGTGGATAGGAAGCCAAAGAGGCACATTGTATTCTTTAAGGTGAAAATAAATGGAGCCGGGTGGGGAGGATGAGGAGGATGAGGAGGATGAGGAGGATGAACCTTAATGTGACGGGGTAAACTTCTCCATCTTAAAGGTCCCCTATTATACTGTTTTTCATCAATATATCACAGGTCTCAGATATATACAGAGCCTGTCTCTGATTGGCTGAAACACCAAACAGATCATTGCAGCATTACCCATAATCCCCTCTGTTTCAGCCCTGTTTCCAAAGTGCTGATTCTCTGTCTGTTACTTTAGATGAAAATAAGGAGCCCCTCCCCACGCCCCTCTGAGAGAGATTTGGTTAAAAAGAACTCAATGGTGCTCTAGGAGGAAATTCAGGTGATAAGGTGGGGGGGGGGGTTACCTTGGTTGGTGATTGGCTAATGGTTACACAAGACAAAACATCGTTATGACATCATAAAGTGGCCAAAATCTGATCAGCTCATTTTCAGACAGGTTTTTATAAAAATGGATCAGGACAAAAAGAGAGAGAATCTTTGTTCCTGAAACTTTCAGAGTCTCTTTACACAGAGGAGACACATGTTGATGAAGAAGAGACATGAAGAAGAGGGGACACATGTTGATGAAGAAGAGACATGAAGAAGAGGGGACACATGTTGATGTAGAAGAGACATGAAGAAGAGGGGACACATGGTGATATAGAAGAGACATGAAGAAGAGGGGACACATGTTGATGAAGAAGAGACATGAAGAAGAGGGGACACATGTTGATGTAGAAGAGACATGAAGAAGAGGGGACACATGTTGATGTAGAAGAGACATGAAGAAGAGGGGACACATGTTGATGTAGAAGAGACATGAAGAAGAGTGGACACATGTTGATGTAGAAGAGACATGAAGAAGAGGGGACACATGTTGATGTAGAAGAGACATGAAGAAGAGGGGACACATGTTGATGTAGAAGAGACATGAAGAAGAGGGGACACATGTTGATGTAGAAGAGACATGAAGCAGTGGATTTTGCATAATAGGGGACCCTTAACTCCAGCTTCTCGGTTGTGTGTGTACATGAGCGTGGTAGTAGATAAACCTGAGGCGAGATGTTATTGACCTCAGAGTGGTGAACTCTCTCTGTCCCTTGGCTCATATCCATGTACAACCCCCTCCTCTTCACACCACCATATGGATGTTTCTGTCACCCTGCATCAATGACCTCCCATTGACCTTCACTTCCTGGAAGCCTCTTTACAGTTACACCCCTCACGCCTCACTACCATTTCTAGTCTTTAATTTTCATTGTACAATGCCATGTCTTGTTATGCTGCTGCAACACAAACATTTCCCAAATTTGGATCAATAAAATACTTCTGATCTTATCTTATTATCTTATATGAAGAAACACATGATGTTAATGATTTGTATGGCTCTGTTCTGGTGTTTTTAACCCTAACATGGTTTTCAATGTGGACATGTAAGACACATTTGTTTCTGGAAATCTTCCCCCTGGACCGAGTTTTTACAAAAGCTCATTTTAAGTGACCTCACACACTGTGTTGTGTGTGCACAAAAGAGCAACACACAAAGAAAGACCTACAATCACAAACAAACCTGTGTACATGGAGACGTGGCTCGAGTCCGGGATGAAATGAGAAGCAATTGTAGTGGAAACATTTGTATTTTCAAGGCTTTATGTGACGATAATAAAAACTAGAGAGAGCTTATCTCCATTTGTCTGGCATGCAGTCGTCCCACTGCTGTGCCATGTCAAAAAGAGTTTGTATCTGAAACTCAACCTGTCAGATGGAAAATCTCAAACTTGTCTAAAGTCCTTGAGAAGCCAAATAACGATGAGGTGTTGACAGGTTTTTAACAGAAATAAAAAACATAATTAGGCCTCATGGTGATCTCCTGATATATACACTTAAACACCTATTACACTTAAAATAACTTCACCCAGGCATGTGCTGTCAAAGAAACACGACACAAAAGACGGTAACAGATCTGACATTTCTTGACAGGTGTGTGCTTTGGAGGCATCTGTCCAAAATGCTCGAAGGAGATAAAGAGAGTGTGACCTGCAGAGAGAACAAAGCGTCACCTGCATACAGTATTATCTTTGTATTCGTCTCAAAGTATCCTGATCACATGTATCCTCACACCTACAGAAACATCCTCCCTCCTCCTACCATATTCTTCATGCACGGCACATCAACTAGCGAGGCTGATGAAGTGTTTGTTTAGCCGATTTTCCACTCAGTGGTCTCAAAAGTGTGGGAGTTTGGAGGCATTCAGAGGCCTTCACCCTGCAGAGTTGTGTGTTTCTGTCCCACTGGACTCTACAGCTGATCTGACAAACAGGCTGTCACTAAATCCTAAAGTGAGGAAAGTAAAAAATACCTCTGTGCACGTTTTACACAATCCTGCATTGATTTGATGGACACAGAAACATGGTGCTGCTGTTTCAAAATGCGCCTCTGTACACATCACTGGACATGGTGACATTACCCAGAATTCCCCTGGGCTTTGAGCTTCAGAAAGATAACCAAATGCCTAATTTCATCCTCCAGTAACTCCCACCAAAAGCTCACAGAAGACAATTGGAGAATCTTCCCCTCTGTAAACACCGTGTTGTTTCTAAATCAACAGGAAGTTGATTCACAAACAACAAACTGCCATGCAGACTCGATTCAGGGTATTATCATTGGTCTCCACTTAGCCTCCAATTAAAGCATTCAGTCTCACAATGAATGCCCTCCCACCTTTAGGTGCCAGCTGTCACATGTTGTAGATATCACTCCAGATCACTTCAAAAAGAGTTAACAATAGAGCTGCAGGGATGAGGCCACTAATCCATTTGTCAAAACAGTTTACCCCAAATAGTCGGATATGCTCTCTTAAATATGGACATTTCCTGTTTTTCTCTGTTTTCTATCCTATCAAAGTGAATATCTGGCATGCAAAGCTTCGTATGTGCATCAAAATAGGCTAAGATGACATGGCATTCAAGATGTTCATACACAAACATTACAAAAGTGACTTCTTCATGATGTCCCCTTTAAACTTGATGAAAGCAATACACTTTACTGAGTCTTTGTGTTAAGCTAAGCTAACTAAGCTTCATATTTAAAGTACAGATATGAGAGTGATATCGATTTTCTCATCTAACTTTCAACAAGTAAGCACATAAGTGTTCTTCCTCCTTCTGTTGAAACATGCTCTCTTTTTTTTATAATGTGCCGCATTTCCTTTCCACTTAACAAGCTACAGCTTCAATTTGGAAAATAGCTTATTGATTGTCTGAATGCAGGATCAGTAGCTTCAGTGGTGACTGCGGACATACAGCCTTGGAGAAGCCTGCCTTTTTTTTTTAGTTGCTGAACCCACCTCCTCTTTTAATCTGCACCTCATCGATCAGATTGATTTTCTCCCCGTGGTTACAGTTAGCACGTGTCCTACATGCAGCGCTTTATTCTGATTGTGATTTATGTGGCTCACTAAAGGCAGCACTGTTGTATGATCTGTGTTTTATTATGTTTGCAGTGTGCAGGAGTGTGTGTGTGCAGAGGTGGGAAGTAGTGGAGTACAAATACTTCGAAAAATGTACTTGAGTAAATAATGTGTGTACTTTTGCCATCTCTGGTGTGGACATGCTGTAACGTGTGTGTGTGTGTGTGTGTGTGTGTGTGTGTGTGTGTGTGTGTGTGTGTGTGTGTGTGTGTGTGTGTGTTGTGTGTGTGTGTGTGTGTGTGTGTGTGTGTGTGTGTGTGTGTGTGTGTGTGTGTGTGTGTGTGTGTGTGTGTGTGTGTGTGTGTGTGTGTGTGTGTGTGTGTGTGTGTGTGCAGAGCTGGATGCAGAGGAGTGGTGTAAGCTTCTGTGCGTGGAGTGCCTCGGCAGCCGTCTGAACGACATCAGCCTGGGGGAGCCGGACCTGTTAGCAGCGGGGGTGCAGCGGGAGCAGAACGGTGAGTGCCCAATTAGTCCCATTCAGGGTCAGTCTCTCACACTCAGGAGAAGTTAGCGGAGAAGTTAGCGGTTGCAGAGCGGTTGCAGTATGTTACAAAAGCAAGTCCTCAGAGGGTTAGGGGAGCAAAACATCCTCCGTCCAATTAGGCCCGGCTAATAAGGGCCATTTTTTGTCAATATCTGATCCCAAAGTCCACCTGTTGCAGTCTTTAAAGAGCGCATGTTGGTTCAACTTTAAAGTATGTGTGTGTGTGTGTGTGTGTGTGTGTGTGCGTGCGTGCGTGCTGGAGCACAGGTCACAGGCTCTGTTCCAGCCCTAATGAGAGCTGCTGTGCATCACTGGCTTCCCTCATAATGAAGCTTGTCACAGAGATGGATGAGATTATGGCTCCAAAAGCCATGTGAAATAAATGTGCTTCATCCCCACATATTCCACTCACAGGAAATGGAAATGGAAAAGAGAGGAGACAACGGGGCGCTGCTATCACACCGGAGCTCATTCTCTGTGTAATTTGTAAACTGGCGGAGGAAATTGAAAAGGCAACAGGCAAAGAAGAGAAGTTCAAAGTTGTAAAGAAGGAGGGCGAGTAATTGAAAAGAATCTGCCGTCATTTCATTTCTCCGCAGCCGAGAAGTGAAATTGTATTCTTCAACATAACCATTTTTTTTTTTGAGATATTAATTTAAGTTTTTTTGCGAGCGCACTGAAGTGTAGCATCACCACTGGACTGAAGTCTGGTGCTCGTGGGAAAGTTGCAGCAGTGAAATAGACCTGAATGAATTAAGAGGCCCTGCAGCCATGTTTCAACTAGCTACTATATATCTACAACATAATTAAATCAGAGTTCATTTTCCCTGTCCCTGAAAATACGCCGCACTATGACATTGCCATTTCCGATCCGCTGCAGACACACGGCTTATTTTGAATCATTAAGCTTAATTAGTGAGAACTAATTTAGATTACGGAGCGCTCCTTCTCTGTCTGCCTCCCACAGTTTAATGTGACGGGGCAGATTCAGCGGCTGATCCCAGAGCAGCTCACTTTACGGCAGGTTAGACGTCAGGTGAACTTCAAATACCTTTTTTAAGGGACTATGTACTCCACTTTTGACACGTTGGAAAAAAGCCTCTGCCTTAGAGTGAATTGAGGGGAGGTGCAGACTATGTATTTATATAGTGCTGCAGGGATGACACATTTTGGGGTTTCTTCCAATGTTTTTCGTACATTATTTAAAAAAAACAAGCTCTGTGTCATCAAACGCTTATTATATATACACGTTTGTTTCAGCAGAATATACTCACAATTCTATGATTTTTAAATCTGCTAAAGCTAATATGCTAGCATGACCGCAGTCACATGACTTCATCTTGACCACCACTGGGCCATTTCTCAGTGATATTTAAGCCATGCACATTTAAAAGAAAATAGCCCAAAATGTTCCCCAGCAGCTCCAGTGGATCACAAGGGCCATGTTTGTGAAAGAGAATATTTCAAATGTCACTTTTAATGCTTCAAGCTCAACAAACTAAATATATGAATCTCCATTTTACTGAAATAAAGGCAACCGCTTGCATGGCTACTGTAGAGAGGCTACCACTAGATGCATCCAGATTGTTTCAGGTTGTCTTTGATTGGTTTATTCTTTTTAACTAATGAGGTTTTTTGAATCTCTCCAGAGCGGTTCAACGTGTACCTCATGCCCACGCCGAACCTGGACATCTACGGGGAGTGCACCATGCAGATCACTCATGAGAACATCTACCTGTGGGACATCCACAACAACCGCCTCAAACTCGTCATGTGGCCGCTCAGCTCGCTGCGGAGATACGGGCGAGACTCCACCTGGTTCACCTTTGAGTCTGGAAGGTGTGTGTGCGTGCAGATCAGTGTGTGTGTGTGTGTGTGTGTGTGATTGAAATGTTAGCGGCGGGAGGGAAAAACAACTTTGGAAATGTAAAAAACTTCAACAAAGCGCTTTTCGGATATGGAAGCATCCCAGGAAACACATTTGCCGCAGAGCGCTTCAGGCATTGATGTGACAGGTGCCTCTGTGAGAGTGTGTGTGTGTACTGTTATCTACTCAGGCGTGTGTGTGCTGTGTGTGTGTGTGTGTGTGTGTGTGTGTGTGTGTGTGTGTGTGTGTGTGTGTGTGTGTGTGTGTGTGTGTGTGTGTGTGTGTGTGTGTGTGTGTGTGTGTGTGTGTGTGTGTGTGTGTGTGTGTGTGTGTGTGTGTGTGTGCGTGTGTTTGACTTCAGTGGGGTATTATATCAATGCCCCTCTCTCTCTAAGTGCACATTCAACCATGCATTTTCTGTAAATCAGCAATCCAAGAGTGAACGCGATCAAAGCGTGTGCGTTTATCTCTCTCTGTGTGTGTGTGTGTGTGTGTGTGCGTGTGTGTGTGTGTGTGCGTGTGTGTGTGCGTGTGCGTGTGTGTGTGTGTGTGTTCCTGGCGCAGGATGTGTGACACAGGAGAGGGTTTGTTCACGTTCCAGACGCGGGAGGGGGAGATGATCTACCAGCGGGTCCACTCCTCCACGCTGGCCATCGCCCAGCAGCACGAGAGGATGATGGAGGAGATGGAGAAGAGCTCCCAGGTACACTTTAACATTTTCTGCTTTTTGTTTTTCTCGTTTACCCGCAGCAGCTCACAGGGTTTACTCCAGCTCTGCCAACCGTACAAACAAATGAGAGCAAGTGTCGGCACAAACAAATGCAGGGTGCAATATGTGCAATATGTGCAATATATAAATGCCGTTAATAACTGTGCAATATATACCTGGCTGCTACAGTAAATCCTCAGAACTGTTACAGGGTGTATATTTTGTAAATTGTGTAACTTTGTAATCTTTAATACACTTGTCTGAATGCTTCTTATGTAACATTAAGCTGTCTCTGGCTCTTTTCTGCTGTAACAATGTACATTTCCCCTCTGTGGGACGAATTAAGGGATTCTGACTCTGAGCATACAGGCAATAATAATAATAATAGTAATAACAGATTACATTTGTATAGCGCCTTTCCCAACGCCGCTTGACATGGTGAACAAACAAACAAAAGGGGCAAATAATAAATAAAAAAATTCAATAAATAGCAGTAGGAGTGGAAGTAGGGGGAATGTGATGGGTTAGGGGTCAAAGGCCACGGTGAACAGGTGAGTTTTGAATGATGACTTGAAGATGTCTACGCAAACAAAACAGAACTACACGGTGCACGACTTATGCAATAATCTGACCAAGACTGAACAAGAGTAAATACTGAATCTGAACTAACGAGGGGATGAAGTTACAGGTGAGCAGGAGGAACAGGTGAAACTGATCAGACCAGTAATCAAACAGGTGGGAGAACACAGGAAGTCAAAACAGACTTGACACAGATTGAGAAAACCTCAAAATAAAAGGGGAACAAGATACACACAAAAAAAAATAGGATCATGGCAAATGATTTTATATACATATACCTCGAATATAATTAAGCTTTATATTGAATATATTTAAGCCTGAAATACTAATGCAAGAGGTGTTTTGATATCAATGATTACCTAAATCCAGGACAATAAACATACTATTACTATTACTACTACTAAGTGGAATAAAAACGATATCAAAAAATAAATAAAATCTTGCCTAAATCACTTCATTCATTCATTAATTCAATTTCAAAAATCCATGGAGGAGGTAACTTACTTTACAATGATGTCAAGAGGTAAAACAATGCTTGCAAAAACAGCATAATGTTAAAATACTGGATAAAAACATAGATTATGAGATAGTAAATACTGTGAGGAATAAATACAAAATAACTAAATTAACAGCCACAGTCACAGCATGTAATCAAAGTGTATGTAAGTACATGTATAAGTACATTATAAGGTCATTACTTTCTGTTCCAGCTCACTGATTAATATACAATTTATTATGTTAAGTGAATGTATGCATAAAGCATGAGTGGCTTATAGCTAATATATCATGGTGCATCTATTGCTGGAAGAATATTTTGTACAAAGACTTTTTATTTTTAGAAATAATATGTGTTTGGATGTGTATTTCTTTCTGTGTTATCTCAAAGCTTTCTTCACTGTCTGTTTGATTTACGCTGATCAAGCAGGCGAGTCATTGAAGCCGTTCACATCATTATTTTTAGAAACCAATGAACAAAAGAGCTATAAATCATGACTTTCTCTCTCACACACACACACACACACACACACACACACACACACACACACACACACACACACACACACACACACACACACACACACACACACCACACACACACACACACACACTCTCCTTCTCCTCCCGTGGTTTTGGCCTCCGCTCCCTCCTTCCATCGCAACACCCGTCCTTCCTCCCTTCCTTCCTCCCGTCCTTCCTCCCTTCCTTCCTCCCCCCATCATCTGTATTCTTTATTTATGTAGGCTTGCCTAGTGTTTGATGAGCCTTGACCATATGGCCATGCTCTTGGACCCCCACCCCCCAACCCCCCCCCCCCCCTTATCCTTTTGGGAACGTTTCCAAACGGAGCATTTAGCCTCAGCTCCATAAATCACAAAACTGACCACTCGTAGTTACAGAGTGGAGAAACTGAGGAAATGCAGAATACTCAGAGTACTACAATCACATAATTACAGCCATTGTAAGGTAAATTATAAATGAACAAAAATACGGGTAGTGGGTTCAGATTTGCAGGAAAGATATCTTTCATTTACAGGAAAAAATACAAATATTAACATGACACTGTTATTTGTACCTGCAGTCGATGACCTAATCAAATGATACTTTGTCATCCGTTTATTTTCTGGTAAATGCACAACATTAAACTAGGAATAACTTATTTTAAAATATAATATCACCCCTCCCCAGATACATACTTAGTTGTTGTTCTTCCTGTTAAATAGTGCAGAGTTTCATATATTCCCTGCAGTAGCCTGGCTTTAAGACGACGCCGTTAGTTTCACGATGCAGATACAAATCTACATCCAGCTGCACATCACCATGCTCCTTAACGTATCCTCATCTCACCTAACATCCCTTCAGAGAGGAAACATGTAACACCAGAAACTCCTTCTGTCCGTCATCTCCAGAGCTCTGGTCCCTGACAGAAAGTGAGACTCTGTTCCTTTCTCTGTGTGTCTCAGATCCTCCCCAGAGAGACGCTCACTAAGTCCATCTCTCTGCCGCGCAGCGCCTACTGGCAGCACATCACGCGTCAGAACAGCGTGGGAGACCTCTACAGTTTCCAAGGTACAGACATGGAGTTCAAGATGTTTCTTATCTGCTGGAGTCAGGGGTGTGTGGAGAAAATACTGTGATGACTGCCACTAGAACTGGTCCCATGCATGCATCTGTTTGGACCTCAAAAGATAGATATTCATACAAGAAGCACACTTTGTTTTTTGATGTTTATCCTTCAAAACAACATGTTCACTGCTGGCAGACCTCTACAGTTTCCAAGGTACAAACATGGAGTTCAAGATGTTTCTTATCTGGTGGTGTGTGGAGCAAAATACTGTGATGACTGCTACTATAACTGGTCACATGCACGCATCAGTTTTGACCTCAAAACGTAACTATTCATACAAGAATTACATGTTTTTTTGGGTGTTTATCCTTCAAAAACAACATGTTCACTGCTTTCAGAGCTCTCCTGAACACAAAGGGAAGCATGCTCTGATGAGTTCGAGTCATAAAAGAAAGTTAATTTAATAAAAGCTGATACATCTTTCCTCAAATATAGGATTTTATTCAGGGACTTTTATTCATTTTTTTAGCATCAGGTCGCCATAGTTTATGACAAACGTTAGAAGCTTATTTTATAAACTTCAACAGAAGCCGCAAAGGTAAATAAATGTATATTTGGTACAGCTCTAAATAAAATACATCAAAGCTAATATGTTTTTGGGATCGAGCTGTGAGCGATTTGAAACTCAAGACCTTATAGCAGCTGCTCTATAGCATTCAGCTTCTGTGTGTGTGTGTGTGTGTGTGTGTGTGTGTGTGTGTGTGTGTGTGTGTGTGTGTGTGTGTGTGTGTGTGTGTGTGTGTGTGTGTGTGTGTGTGTGTGTGTGTGTGTGTGTGTGTGTGTGTGTGTGTGTGTGTGTGTGTGTGTGTGTGTGTGTGTGTGTGTGTGTGTGATTAGTGTGCTGATGTGATTGCTCTCTGTCCTGGCATTAGTTGATTAGTAGACTTATCTGAGGATTATGAGCCTTTTTGCTTCCACTGGCAGAACTGAGGATGAAAGGCTCTGTGACGTCATTTCATTTTTGAAAAACCTGAGGCTGGATTAATTTTTTAATTATCATTTAATTACGGCCTGATAAACTTAAAGCCACACGTGTTTTTTTAAC